TTTCTTATAAATAAATAAATATCTTCTTTTGTGTTCAACAGAAGAAACTCATACAGGCTTGGAAAAACATGCGAGTAAATCAGGGTGAGTAAATTATGAGAAATTTTAAATTTTGGGGTAAACTTAAAGAACGGAACCTTTTAACCTGAAACGGAAGTTACAATAGACTTTTAATTTCTATCAGAATTTGATTGGTTATTTGTTGTTTGCTGTTGCTGTGATGTCATGTAAGTGACAGTTTGAGTTTGTCCCTCGACACCTGTAAACACTTCATCAGATCTCCATTGCAAGAATGAGATTAAAGATTATCACTCTCAGAAAAAAAGGTACAAAAGCTGTCACTGGGGCTGTACCTTTTCAAAAGGTACACTTTTGTACCCAAAGGCTGCATATTGGTACCTTAGTGGTACATATTGGCACCAAAACTGTACATATTAACACCTAAAATGTACATATTAGGAAAATGTGCATATTAGGACCTAAAATGGACATATTAGCTCCTGCAATGTACATATTAACACCAAAAATGTACATATTAACACCTAAAATGTATAGATTAACACCTAAAATGTACTTATTAGCACCTAAAATATACATATTAACACTAAAAATTTGCATGTACATAGCACCTAAAATGTCCTTATTAGCACCTAAAATGGACAAAATGTTTACCTTTTGAAAAGGTACAGTTTATGGTAGTTTATTTATATAGCACAATTGAATATAATTTACAGTGTCCAATGTGCTTTACAATATTAATAAATATTATAAAAGACTGACAGCAAAACAACAACAAACGTACAGGTGTACATTTAAATAGACTACTGCAAGGTAAGTTCTTCACCAGTTTAAAAAATAAAATAAAAAAAATGAGATACAGTGTAGGCCTAATAATGTTTTATCATGTGTTAAATGCCTTGTCCAATATAGTGTTTTTAGCTTGGATTTAAAGACAGAAAGCGAAGAGGCCATTCTAATAGAAGTGGGCAAGTCATTCCATAGTCTGGGGCCAGAAAAGGCACGGTCCCCCCAGGACTTTAGTTTTGACTTGGGGATAGATCTGATTTGATGACCGTAGTGATCTGGACGGACGATGCCAATAGAGCAGACAGATATGGTGGAGCCAGACTATTCATAGATTTATACACAAAAATTAAAAGTTTATACTCCACTCTATAACGCACTGGCAACCAGTGTAGGGATCTTAAAATTGGAGTGATAATTCCGTTTTTTTGCACCCGTCAGAAGTAGCTGCCGCATTTTGTACAGCCCCAGTGACAGCTTTTCTACCTTTTTTCTGAGAGTAGGGCACATTATTATTATTTTAATAATGATATCCACTGATAACTAATTTATAATAAATACAACAATATTCTATAAAAATAAAAATTGTTCATTTTGATTTTAATTGTGACTTAGGGAACATATTGGTGCAAGGTGAATGAGAAAGAGACTTTCACAAGCACAGAAGGATAGAAACAAAGGTAGTCTGGGAAGTGTTGACTATCCGCGTGCATGCTCTGTGTCACAAGCGATGAAATAAACTAGCCTGCCTGTCTAAGGCCTCCAGCCTGCTTTGTTCACTCATTTGACGGCTCATCAAAATGCAGTTTCTTCTCGAGGTCTCCAAGCTGGTGCTGCCAACAGCACCTGTGGCAAGAGAAATTATAAAAACAAAATGACACGCTCGCTCAATATTTAATGCTGTGTGGACGGCGTGCTTAATGTGAAGTGAATCCCCTCAAAGCGTTCAAATTTCACAAAGAATTAAATCAGACTTTATCTATAAAGTAGGTGATTTCGCCAAGCCCATGTTCCTGGATCAACATCTTAAACATCATAGTTATTCATCTATGGATAGGGCTAGGTTTTGAGGTAGGAATTCATTTTGTGACAGGAAAGTTGATCCAGAATCGTCTGGCAAAATCACGGTAACCATGAAGAAAGAGTGATCAAATTGAGTACAAGGTATCTTGAAATATATTAAGCCAGAAAGTGGTTTGATTGCCCATATGTATCACACCGCCTCCTATACGCACACATGCATGTAATACATAATTAACCATGCATACTAGATGCATTAATGCAGACATTCACAAATATTTAAACATGATGTTGCTTCCAGGCAAAACTGTCCAGTCAGCAACAGCTGCATGATGTCACCAGTAATAATGATCTAACTCTGCCTCAGTCAGAGCAGCACTTCCCTCAGACGAATGTTCACTCGGCTTTTATAACTCTTAGTAATCGAACTGCGCTACTTGATCTGTTTAATTGTTTGTTTAATCATTTGCAGTTAACAACTTATAAAGACATAGGCCTGTGTGTTCTAACATTCCAAAAAATAATTTTCATCCTCTATGTTTTTGTCTTGTTTTTCTTTTTTCTTTTTTCAGTAAACTTTTTTACATCAAAATGTTAATTGGGAAACAAAAGTTGTTTTCTGAAAAAGCCGTTATTAAAAAGTAGGAACTTCACACTTAGCCTAAAACAAAAATGTCTGCCAATGGGGTAAGAAAAAATAAACCTGTTTTCATTTTAAATTAAGTTTATTTAAAAAAAAAAAAAAAAAGGAAATACAGAAGAAAAAGAAAAACTTTCTCTTTTTTGTTTTTCAGTGAAAAAGAACGGCGGCCGGTGACCACTTGATGGTGCTGTCAAGCAGCCAATGGTGGTCTGTACTATCAGAACATAAAAGATTCATAAAACAGCAGAAGGATTCAGCTCTCATGAAGGTATTTGAGTCTCTGGACGGCTAACCACAGCATGATGCGCACGCAGTGGACATCAGCTACTGCATCTACAAGAAGCACTAAGGCAGAACAAGTGTTTCACGAAGGTTGTAGAGAATACATTGGTTTTGGAGCAAGATCATTGGGAAATTTTAGGCTCTATTTGGTCATGGTTCACAGCCATCTGACACTATCAAAAGCTGCTATTTGTTCACCAAAAATGCATTTTACTTAGTTGGATCAAGAATAAACTCTCTATGGAATTCTTTTGAGAAGGTCTTCAAAATGCTTCCATTTGAGAGATTTAGTGCTTCACTTAAAAGGAAATGTATATACCAGTACTGTACCACATACTTGGTCTCCTTTTGTTTCCTGGCAGTTTATCTGATCTGATGTGCTATTTGAGGATGGTTTGTTTGTTTTGATTTAATCTAATTTAAGTCTGCATGATGATCTTAGTGTTTCCTGTTTAAAACAAATAAAGATTAATTGAAAAAATACAATGCATCCATTGTTCTCTACGTTTTATAATGATAATTTAATGCTACATTTAATTTACACATTTGACTTCATGTATTGAAGTCATTGTTTAAACTTCTTTGTAACGAATGATTGAAATACAAATGACCCCCTGACCCTGCCCCTAAACCTACCCATCAATGGGGTTTAGACAAGTCGTACGAGTGAAGTCGTAGGCTACGAATTAGCCACCGTTTACTTGCTCGTACAAATTTATACAAATTGGTTGTGAGATAGCGTTGTCTTTGCAGGTCGATCTGAGGAATGTGGAGGGTTTCTTAAAGTGCGCTGTAAATGTAAATGTACTGTATTTTAAAGGCAAACTATGCAGGAATTCTGTTTTTGTCAAACAGCGACCCCTAGAGTTGCTATGGAGTACTTGTATTTAATGTTACCGTCGTAAATACCACTCACACAGGGCTTCTCAGCCTGATACCCCTTTGAAGCTGTTATATCTTGCATAATGTGCATTTTTTTGCATTAAATAAGAGATCTAGCGCGAAAATGTGTTTTTGACCTCAAGCCGAGCGCTCGTGTCCGCTGCTATCATTGTCATGGATACAGTGTATCTTGTGGTGGCGTGCGCGCAGTCCTCACTCGGACACGCTCTTCAATCTATCGCAGTTGCGGAGACTCTCTATTCATTCAAAAATACAATTTCATGGTCTTCGAATGATTAATTATGCATGTTTAAACCACCTCACATGAGTGTTTGCAATTCATGTTGCTGAGAAGCTAGCGCAGTGAACGGGGCTTGAGAGCGCGTTGTGAATGAGGGTGCGAGTGCAGCCTCCGTGTTGCCAGATCCACCTAATGGAAAAGTGCAGTAATCTCCTGGACCTGTTTTTCTGATTTAATGTGACACTTTAGGAAGTTATTAAAGTGGAAAGTTGCATGTTAGGGTTAGTGATATATTAATCTTATTTCCAAAACACAAGCTATGAACTAATTTCCGATTATTATTATTTTGTTTTGTTTTGCTTGTTTTTAGTAGCAATATCTGGCAACATTTTACTGTCAGCGTTAATAAAAAATAAAATATATTATATTGACAATAAGGAACGTTTAAATCACATGAGGATCCACACAGGTACTTGTCTTGTCTGCTGTTAACTGCTTCCAACATATAACAGTATCATTATAATGAAACCTGAAGACACTTTGAGTTTGCATGGATTTATTTTGTATAGAAATAAGGTATAATTTCAGACCATAAGCTGAGTAGCAAATCGGCATATTAGAATAACTTTTTGAAAGATCATGTGACTGAAGTGACTGAATGGCTGTGTGGCTTATTTGCCAACACAGTAATAAATTACATTCGAAAAGATGTTTAAAACAAAAACACTTATTTTAATTTGTAATAATATTTCTCAACATTGCTGTTTATTACTGTACTTTTGATGCAATAAGAGACATAAAAAAAACATTGAACGGGAGTGTATAATTAATAATAATGTATAGGCCTATAATAAATTACTAACCTATACGTACTATTGGCTTAATACTGCAAATAAAGCACATCGCCCCAACTGTGACCTCGAGATGGATGGAAACGCTCAGCATGACAAACTAAGGTCTGCGTTTTGTGCGTAATGTAAACTACTGTTCAAGCGGCAGGACGGTAAATGACAAGACGAAAGCCAATCAAATTGTGGGATTGGCCATCTGTAGTCTTTGCTGTCAGCAAAATAATCCAATTAGCAAACACGCCTTGTAGGGTTTTGGCCAATCATCGAGCCACTTGAAGAAACTATCCCTCCCCTCCATCAAGACGCACAAGACTCTGAACCAAAGGATATCTTGGCCTCCCTACTGAAGCTCGGATCTATGTAATGATTTATCCCACATCATGATCCCATATTGAAACGAAACTTAGAAAGATTTAGACAACAAGTGGATAGATTTGTTCAGGGACATCTGCGTTGGCGTCAAACATGCGCAAAAATTCACGCCATCAAAGCAGAGAATCACCGTAAACGGAATGAGCGTTTCTCACGTGAAGTCACCCTGATTGTTTGTTTTTAAAGGAAGCGACAAGCATATCGACTCCGAAAATATCCGCAACCAAGAGACAGAAGTGGGAACGAACGCTGACATCCACAAAATATCTGGAAATGTAAGTATGGGGACGCGTGTGGGCCTGGGGTTTGTTCGACGAGAGCTCGTGCTAAGCTAACCAGCGCAAGCCTGCGCGTGATTTCATTGCTAAGTATGAGGCTTGTTGTGTAACGAGCGAGTTCACACACAAGCGCAGCTATAACGAAATTAGACTGACATTACCGCCCACTTTCCGTTTGGATGGAACAAAGAACCACTGTTGTTGTTATTGTGTGTAGGTTCCGAGTTTTATTGCTTTTGTTTGTCCTGTAGCTGCGACAGATAAACAAGCGCGCGTCAGAAATAATCCCATCGGCTCGTGCTCACTGTTAGTAAGAATTCAGTGCATTATGTAATCAACTCGGCTCCTGTCAGCTTTCCTTCTGTTTCTCTGACATGTATGAAGCTTTTCTCACTCAAACGTGACGTTTCATTTGTCCTTAAACCTACAATGTGTTTGCTTACATTTCACCTTGATTTCGTGCTTACCATAGTTGGTTGCTTTCGCCTTACTGGGTGTTTACAAGGACGGCCTGATTTATGCTGAAATCTTTGCAGTTTAGCTCATGCAAGGCCTCGTAATTTATAATATTTAGGCTATTAATATTATTTTCACAGCTAGTTTTCCTGTAATACAATATAATGTGATTCATACTTAAAATAAAGTGTTGGTAATATGTCTCTTAACTGATATCAGGAGTAGCAATTAGCAAAGGCTCGAATGTTAATACATTTGGAGACTTTCATGACGACTAACAACACTTTTACATGATATATGACTTAAAGTGGAATGGTGGCAAAAACTTTGAGTGACTGTCTTCTTCTGTTCTATTTCCTCTGTTTTGTGGTGCATAGCATATTTTTTTCTGATTATACATCTTTAAAATCTTAATTTCATAGTAGTAACTTGACTTCATACATAACTTGACTTAGTACATGCTTAATGTAGTTTAGTGGCCTTTTGTAAGTGCCGTTTCATATCTCATGTGGGGTGACTTGGATTTGTAATCTTTTGCTTGACTGACTAACTATGAGTTAAGTTTCAGAATGTGTTTTTTGATACTACACTTCCAAAGTTTAGGGTCAGTATGATTTTTTTTTTAAATAGCATACTTTTATTTAGTAAGGTTGCATTAAATTGATTAAAATTGACAGTATAGCCATTTATAATGTTAGAGTAACTGAAACACACTTGTAACAGTGTCTCATCAGCAGAGATTAAAGGTCTGATTATAACTGTAGATAAAGGGCTTTGGGTCACCACTTGTTAACTCGATCGGTATAACTGTGGACTGATGACATGACGACAGCAGTTAATGCTTTCTTTATCATGATTGAACACTGTGTGAAACTTTGACCAAGCCTGCTGTTCAGAGAGAGTGCTGAGTTTGCAGTTGTTCTTCTAATGCTGATTGCTAAATGATGGATCTGCACAAGTGTGGAGGACAGTGTGAGGACAGATGGGTGGACCCCTTTCTTTGCTCAGTGGCTTCTTTAAAGTCCGTCCAGTATTGGCAGGAACCGAAGCACAAGTCTACCATGTACATCTACACTCTTGTGATGGAGATAGAATGGCGAGCTCTGTGGGAAAATACTCCCTCCTTTATCACTTTCTGTGTATGGGATTGGGGTTGTTTTTGTGAAAATGAACAATGTCATTATTTACTGTCCCTTTGTGATGTTACAAACCGGTATGATTGAATTTCTTCTAAAGATAATAACAGTTCTTCAAAATATCATCTTCTTTCATTCCACAATTGAAAACAAAACAAAGTCATACAAGTTTGGAACACCATGAGGGTGAGTAGGCGATATGGTCACAGAATTTTCTTTTCTGGGTTACTGCTGTTTAGGGGTGCACAATATTGAAAAAATCTGATTTAGCGATATCGATATTAATTTCGATATTTTTAAACATGTAAAATTACAAAAGTCATGGGAACGCATCAAAATAGATTCATAACAAATAAAACAAGTTTACTTACAACACAAAGTTTATTTCAACTGACTGTCATATTTGGACTAGTAAAACATGAATAAATAAATAACCATGTCTACAGAACAAGACATGTTTTACTGGTTGTACCGTGTAAAATAAATAAATAAATAAATAAATAAAAGAGCATGTCTATAGAACAGGAGATGTTGTATGTACGCTACAGTATAAAAAACAATAAATAAAGAGCAAGTCTACAGAACAAGACATGTTAGACTTAGAAGCAATAAAAATAAAAACAATAAAAAAGTAAAATGAAAATGTCATGAGAAACACTAAACCTGGGCCCATCAACAACCATGTAACCTTTAGAAGGCAAATAACACTTTCCCCAGCAACTCACAGGTAGAGGTTTCGCCATATGTGCAGTTTACACCTGGCCACTTCATGTGTTTTCTGTGATCCGATAGCTATCCGATCGTAAAAAGACTAAGTGTAAATGCCCTCCAAAACGCATTTGAGACGGGTTTGATTCATAGACTGTAAAAAAAGATGGACGACGCCCTTTGCTCTTTTCCGTTGGTGAGAACTGAAGCTGCCAGTGTCCCGATATGGCGCTGACATCTTGGGACTTGAGTGTGCGCAGTAGCAATCTCGGGACCTGCGCAGTAGCGGTCTCGGGACCAGACCTGCGTGGTAGCGGTCTCGGGACCAGACCTGCGTGGTAGCGGTCTCGGGACCAGACCTGCGCGGTAGCGGTCTCGGGACCAGACCTGCGCGGTAGCGGTCTCGGGACCAGACCTGCGCGGTAGCGGTCTCGGGACCAGACCTGCGCGGTAGTGAACAGGAAGTAAAGACGCAAAATCAACGCTCCGCCCACACTCTGGCAGAATGCACTCTCCCTGAATTTCTTTTAAGTGGCCAATGTCTGCCCGTTCCTCCATTCTGCTCCAATTTTGATATCTATTGATTGCAGTATGGAGACTAAAATAAACTAAATAAATCTCCTCAGTCCTCCGAAGAAAAAAAAAAGTCCATTGGTGCTTTAGTGATTACTTGGCTCAGAAAACCTGGCAATCACAGCTGTCAATCATGATGATACACCACCATTTTTATAGCTAACTAACTAAAAACAAACGTATTTTAAAGACTGTCATTTAGAATGATAAAAACGACAGCAAATGACACAAACCACCTTTGGAAAAAAATATTTGAAGTGTAATTTGGTTGTTTAGTTGGTCTTACGTCCCGCAGCTCCTTTCCCCCTTCAACTTCATAAGCCAAAATATTTCCACATATCAGCTTTTACCGAGGTTGTTTGAATCTTGCGCGCCATCTTTTCTCTGATGCGCATGCCAGACGGTCCGGGCACTGCACTTCCACGCTCCAGAGTTCCGTCTTTTGTGTTCCGTCAATATTATGTTATTATCGTTATTATCGTCCCCATCGCGATGCATCTAAGAATCGATTTATCTCCCACCCCTAGTAAAAACATGTTAATGCGATTTAAGTTAGTTGTGTTTTAATACAAATCAGTTCATTTTAACCTTCAATATTAATGTAGTACCAAGTTGACTTCCTGTTTACAGTATTAGGCCTGTCACCATAGTCAATAAATCAATTAATTGCTCTATTTTTTCCGGCTGCGATAATTTCTACCAAAGAGACTTGACAACTCTCAGTTCCTTAGCGTAGGAAGAGTGAACTTGCTTAGCCCGAACTTGGCCCGAGCCCAAACTTGACCCGGGCCGATATTTCCCGTCACTACCCTCGGGACGGGCCCTTGGTGAAAAAAAAGGTTTCGCGGGACTCCCACAAACTAGAAATATCTATGAAGAAAACATCATCTGTTGCAGAAAAGTAACAATAATAACGAAAACAAAATAGAAAAAATTTACAGCCCAGAGTTTCTATTCATGACATGTTTCCAGCGTTGAGCGATGTAGCCAATCACAGACTTGTGTTGATTTTTTTTTTTTTTAATTCAATGGCCAATCAGAAGCATTTAAGATAGACTCCCATCACCACTCAAAATGGACTTTCTGTTCAGTGCTGAATTCCGTATGCTGGCAAATCCTTGCACTTTGCGCGCATTCAGTCATGCCAAACCATGGATGCAGGAACCTGCTTGCTTTTACGTTAATTTAACAGTGGTTTGTGTGTTAATGCATGCATTAATAACAAATAATTTATCATAGGGTAGGGTTGGGTTTTGTTTACATCCATTTTATTTATAGTTTTTGGTATTTGTTCAAGTGTCAGAGTCCATTGCTTTTGTTTTTGGTTGTTTTGTTCATTTGTGAATATTTAAAATGTTTTCCATTTTCAGTGTTAAATAGTCTTTAGAAAAAAAAGTTTATTGATCTGAAAAGGTGGACCTGCATCAATATGCCATTATCATTATTTTAGATGTAAATGGTCTCAGAACGACAATATTATCGCTTATCGCAATAATTTTTTGGACAATTTATCGCCCAGCAAAATTTGTTATCGTGACAGGCCTAGAGAATACTGTACCTGATATAAATACAAATTAATTGATATCGGTCTGAATCGAGTCGTGAATTTTGTCAATAGCTCTAGTACTGAAGTACCGGTACTTTTGACCATCCTTCTGCTGTGGCTGATGTGTTCATGGAGTCATAATGGTTGGTGTCATTACATGGCAGTTGACAGAAGTGGTGAAAAAAAAGTTAAGAATGATTCTACACCTTTCAGTTGGTGTCCTCATTATGTTTACGATTGGATTGAGACTGGTATCATGTTTAAATATGCATCATCATAATGACAGTCACAGGTAGCACTTTTAATTTTCTTGGCATGCTCTTAATATGTGTAAGGGTCACAATAAGGTCGTTTGGATCACCCTCTTATTGCTGTCATCGTACTGTCACTGCTGAACCATCTCTCCAGCTCACAGTCTGATGTCAGGGGATTAATGTCAAGAGGCCCGAATAGGTGGTGTGTGAGGACTACAGTGTGAATACATGCAAGATGTTTCTTATGTTTTGAGAGTATTTGTATGTTTTATGGGCTTGGCAGGGTGGTGTTCAGAATGACTCAGGATTAACTCTTTCCTCATC